GGTTAGGTACTGTAGCTGTGTAAATCATCTATTGTAAAACAACGGTATATTATTAATTCGGTTGAAAGTTGTTTTGATACCATTGTAAAGAGTGCTACCAGGAGGTGAGAACAGTATCGCAACTATTAAGTACGATCACACTTCCCAAAAGGCATCTATACAAGGGATTGTTTGAGTGGATTTTGTTTTTGGGTTTTTTCGAAGAGATAATAATGAGAAATTTTCAACGTATCGATAATGAATGGGTGAAGGATAATGCTTAGATATTGACATGAGAGAGGAAATCGGCTGAGTAATTGTGTGTTAGACTTTGTTTTTTCTCCTTTTTTATTCATAAAACTGTCTTTTTTTATTCGAGCTTTAGAGTAATTTGTTTTAAGTATTGTTGTAGTTGATGTTGATAATGTTAATTTATGAAGAAGTCGATAGCACGATAGTGATATTTGAAGGAACACAAAAGCAGACGAGGACATTGTAAATGGACGGTAGAGTAACCTCCCTTTACCCAATTCTGTAATTTCAAATTAAATAGATTAACCTGGTTGGCTCCTTGCAATTTACAAATTCCGTTGGAACTGTCAATGTGTACATTGCACAAAAGAAAACCCACATGCTTCATTTGAGGTCACATTTATTACGTTATCGACTTTTATTTAAGTTCAGCCCGTAACGAAGAACCCGGAGAGAGCGCTCATCGAGGCCATTACTTCTGCTCCTTTTGAGCTTTGGTCGACTACAACCATCACCGTGTCTCCCTCGTTCATGTGCAGAATGGCGGTACCGGTCGCCATGCTGCTGTCAACAGCGTCGCCTGCTATGGTTCGTCCGGTCACGAAGTCATTCTGCGGTAAGAAACCTAAAATCAATTTCAGAATTGAAACATATATAATAAAAGAAGGACATATTATGGCACGTGCCCCGTCCGGGCTGGAACTGACACCCAAGGGGACCAGACCGTCTAATACTCACAGCTCTCATCACTACACAATCTCCGTCCTGTACGGTTTCGATGTTGCAGTGGTCAACAGCCCGATGTTAACGTTCTCGACACTGTCATAGTGACCAATCGTCTATTGACGTTATGACCACCTGACCCACTACTTATAGATATAGACATGGATACAAGTCGTACAAATATAATAACATATTTCACACGGTTCATATATTTGACATTCGAATCCGAAGGTTTCTTTCTTGTCCCTCAGTAAGAAACGATTAGAAATATTAGAATGTAGTTTAAGATGAAAAAGAGCGAATACTTATGGTAAGTCACCGATCATGATAAATTTACATACATGCATTAATGTCGCGAATAGGTATTGTCCGTAGTTGGTGGCGACGGTCCACGAGAATGAGTAGACTCCCGGCACTTTAGCGGTGAACTTGCCATCATTAGGGTTGTAGTTCGCCGTCAAATCCAGTGTTTCCCGGTCAAACAGTACTGGACGCTTGGCTTCCGGGTTGAAGACATTCTGGCTCAGACTTACGTAAAAGGCAGCGGGAATCAGTACTGTTATGTCACAAAACTAAGTGGTCAAGCCTCGCCATTTATTACCCAAGATAAACCACATATATATTTCTTTAACATATTTGATGTGTAATCTATAACATTTCTAGGCTGTTTAGTGTATAATTTATTACATTTGTAGATTGCCTGATTTGTAATTCATAACATTTGTAGATTATCTGATTTGTAATTTATAACATTTGTAGATTATCTGATGTAAAATTTATAACATTTGTAGATTATCTGATGTAAAATTTATAACATTTGTAGATTATCTGATGTAAAATTTATAACATTTGTAGATTGCCTGATTTGTAATTTATAACATTTGTAGATTGCCTGATGTAAAATTTATAACATTTGTAGATTATCTGATGTAAACTTTATAACATTTGTAAATTGTCTGATGTAAAATTTATAACATTTCGAGACTGATTGGTGTATAATTTATAGTATTTGTAGTTTGTTTTATTTATTGTTTTTATTTTATCTAATTGTTCACCTTGCATTCTACTGCGTGTTATCGTATAAGGCCCCTCATGTAGCCTCCTTACACAACGGGGCGATTTCTTTTGTTTCATTTAGTAAAAGAGCTTTTAGAAAAACGAAACATGATCTGCTATCCCGATTACAACACTTTGCTATTAATCCAATCTTATATTTCAGGTCTTTGGTAGCACCCGACAAACTAGATTACAAAGTTGCCGCTGTTTTACCGCAATATTGATTTCAATACGTGAAACAACCTGATTTAGGGACACAACGATATGTCACAGAACCAGAATTAGGGATACATAACGATACGTCACAGAACCAGAATAAGGGACACATAACGATATGTCACAGAACCCGATTTGGGGACACATAACGATACGTCACAGAACCCGATTTGGTGAAACATAACGATATGTCACAGAACCAGATTGTGGGACACATAACGATACGTCACAGAACCCGATTGTGGGACATAACGATACGTCACAAAACCCGATTGTGGGACACATAACGATATGTCACAAAACCCGATTTGGGGAAACATAACGATATGTCACAGAAGCCGATTGTGGGACACATAACGATACGTCACAGAACCCGATTGTGGGACACATAACGATACGTCACAGAACCCGATTGGGGGACATAACGATACGTCACAAAACCCGATTGTGGGACACATAACGATACATCACAAAACCCGATTTGGGGTAACATAACGATACGTCACAGAACCCGATTGTGGGACACATAACGATACGTCACAAAACCCGATTTGAGGACACATAACGATACGACACAGAACCATAATTAGGGACACATAACGATACGACACAGAACCCGACTGTGGGACAAATAATGATACGTCACAGAACCAGAATTAGGGACACATAATGATACGTCACAGAACCCGATTTGGGGAAACATAACGATACGTCACAGAACCCGACTGTGGGACAAATAACGATACGTCACAGAACCCGATTTGGGGACACATAACGATACGTCACAGAACCCGATTGTGGGACACATAACGATACGTCACAGAACCTGATTGTGGGACACATAACGATACGAAACAGAACCCGATTTGGGGAAACATAACGATACGTCACAGAACCCGATTGTGGGACACATAACGATACGTCACAATCCTGATTTGGGGACACATAACTATACGTCACAGAACCCGATTGTGGTACACATAACGATACGACACAGAACCCGATTGTGGGACACATAACGATACGACACAGAACCCGATTTAGGGAAACATAACGATACGTCACAGAACCCGTTTTGAGGACACATAACGATACGTCAAAGAACCTGATTTGAGGACACATAACGATACGTCACAGAACCTGATTCGAGGACACATAACGATACGTCACAGAACCTGATTTGAGGACACATAACGATACGTCACAGAACCCGATTTGGGGACACATAACGATACGTCACAGAACCTGATTTGAGGACACATAACGATACGTCACAGCACCCGATTATGGGAAAAATAATGATACGTCACCGAACCCGATTATGGGAAAAATAATGATACGTCACAGAACCCGATTTGAGGTCACATAATGATACGTCACAGAACCCGACTTGAGGACACATAACGATACGTCTCAGAACCCGATTTGAGGGCACATAATGATACGTCATAGAAACCGACTTGAGGAAACATAACGATACGTCACAGAACCCGATTATGGGACACATAATGATACGTCACAGAACCCGATTTGGGGAAACATAACGATATGTCACATAACCTGATTTGGGGACACATAACGATACGTCACAGAACCCGATTATGGGAAAAATAATGATACGTCACAGAACCCGACTTGATGACACATAACGATACGTCACAGATCCCGATTATGGGACACATAACGGTACCTCACAGAACCCGATTATGGGAAAAATAATGATACGTCACAGAACCCGACTTGATGACACATAACGATACGTCACAGATCCCGATTATGGGACACATAACGGTACCTCACAGAACCCGATTATGGGAAACATAACGATACGTCACAGAACCCGATTTGGGGAAACTTAACGATACGTCACATAACCCGATTATGGGACACATAACGATACGTCACAGAACCCGATTATGGGACACATAACGATACGTCACAGAACCCGATTTGGGGACACATAAGGATACGTCACAGAACCCGATTTGAGGACACATAACGATAGGTCAGAGAACCCGATTTGGGGACACATAAGGATACGTCACAGAACCCGATTTGAGGACACATAACGATACGTCACAGAACCCGATTTGAGGACACATAACGATACGTCACAGAACCCGATTTGAGGACACATAACGATACGTCACAGAACCCGATTTTGGGACACATAACGATACGTCACAGAACCCGATTTGGGGAAACATAACGATATGTCACATAACCTGATTTGGGGACACATAACGATACGTCACAGAACCCGATTGTGGGACACATAACGATACGTCACAGAACCCGATTGTGGGACACATAACGATACGTCACAGAACCCGACTTGAGGACACATAACGATACGTCACAGAACCCGATTTGAGGGCACATAATGATACGTCATAGAAACCGACTTGAGGACACATAACGATACGTCACAGAACCCGATTTGGGGAAACATAACGATACGTCACAGAACCCGATTTGGGGAAACTTAACGATACGTCACATAACCCGATTTTGGGACACATAACGATACGTCACAGAACCCGATTATGGGACACATAACGATACGTCACAGAACCCGATTTGGGGAAACATAACGATACGTCACATAACCTGATTTGGGGACACATAACGATACGTCACAGAACCCGATTTGGGGACACATAGCGAAACGTCTGTTTCCGACCTCATCGAGCCGTGACGTCTGGGAAAAGGTAACGACCTAATGTAAATATGTGTACATAACAGTTACAGTGTCATGTATCCCCTGTATCCCCCTGTATCCCCCTGTATCCCCTGTATCCCCTGTATCCCCTGTATCCATTTGGGGACACATAACGATACGTCACAGAACCTGATTTGGGGACACATAACGATACGTCACAGAACCCGATTTGAGGACACATAACGATACGTCACAGAACCCGATTGTGGGACACATAGCGATACGTCACAGAACCCGATTTGGGGAAACATAACGATACGTCACATAACCTGATTTGGGGACACATAACGACACGTCACAGAACCCGATTTGGGGACACATAGCGAAACGTCTGTTTCCGACCTCATCGAGCCGTGACGTCTGGGAAAAGGGAACGACCTAATGTAAATATGTGTACATAACAGTTACAGTGTCATGTATCCCCTGTATCCCCCTGTATCCCCCTGTATCCCATGTATCCCCTGTATCCCCTGTATCCCCCGTATCCCCCTGTACCCCCTGGATCCCCTGTATCCCCTGTATCCCCCTGTATCCCCCTGTATCCCCTGTATCCCCTGTATCCCCCTGTAACCCCTGTATCCCCTGTATCCCCTGTATCCCCCTGTAACCCCTGTATCCCCTGTATCCCCTGTATCCCCTGTTTCCCCTGGAACCCCCTGTATCCCCATGTATCCCATGTATCCCCTGTATCCCCTGTATCCCCTGTACCCCCTGTATCCCCCGTATCCCCTGTATCCCCCTGTATCCCCATGTATCCCCTGTATCCCCTGTATCCCCTTTATCCCCTGTATCCCCCGTATCCCCCTGTATCCCCTGTATCCCCTTTATCCCCTGTATCCCCCGTATCCCCCTGTATTCCCTGTATCCCCTGTATCCCCTGTATCCCCTGTTTCCCCTGGAACCCCCTGTATCCCCATGTATCCCATGTATCCCCTGAATCCCCTGTATCCCCTGTATCCCCCGTATCCCCCTGTACCCCCTGGATCCCCTGTATCCCCTGTATCCCCCTGTATCCCCATGTATCCCCTGTATCCCCTGTATCCCCTGTATCCCCCTGTATCCCCATGTATCCCATGTATCCCCTGTATCCTCCCCCTGTATCCCCATCCCCGTATCCCCCTGTATCCCCTGTATCCCCTGTATCCCCCTGTATCCCCATGTATCCCCTGTATCCCCTGTATCCCCTGTATCCCCCTGTATCCCCCTGTATCCCTTGTATCCCCCTGTATCCCCCTTAGCAATAATTCAATACATATATTACCTTCCTGGATAATTATCAATTTTAAATACATTTTAAGAAATATATAATATAACTGTACTTGGTGGTGATAGTTTAGCTTGCTCCCTCTCGAGGTTAGTAAGTTGTTGGCGACACATCATCAACATTTTGTCAGTTTCTAACAGGGATCTCTGCGCATCCTTCACCAGAGCGAACAGCTCGCGTATGGCTTCTCTGTCTTCAGTCGTGCTTGAGTTGTTGCATCTCCGTGGTATTTCGTTTGTCAGACTCACCTAGAAATGCGTAAATCTTGTATTGCATAGTGTTTTATTAAAGTTCGTTGACTTTTAACAAATCATAATTTGACTTACACTGTGTTAGTATTTTCGCTACGAGTCAAATACACACTTTATCAAAAATATTTGGTTGTAAGTAATCGAAACCTTAATATCATGTTCGCCTCCAGTATTCATTTCCGTCCTAGTGTCAAACGCTATTGTCACTGTGTACGTGTATGTAGGATACATCAAAAGCAAAACTGATAATCAATTGTTTCTGAAAATTGCAAAACGAAAGCAAAACAAAACGAAAGCGCCTGATCGCTAATCTTCTTTTCCGCGAAACGAAACCTGTTCCTGTGTTCATTATGTTTCGTTTTTTTCCTTTGAATATATCGTTTCATGAAAAATATGTTCAAATAATATTTCGATTCGTAGAATACAGAGTCAATCAATGCAGATTATATCTCGTTCCATTTTGTTCCGTTTCGTCCAGTTTCAAATTAATTTCGTTTCGCAATTCACAGGGACCCGATAACTTCCAATGTAGCATAGATGGTATTTTTGACAGCGTGAAAGACAGAACAAACTAACAGGAAAAGATATAAACGTTCTAATTAACAGCTAAGGTCATATGGGAGCGAGAGTCTAGAGACACCCTGGAAAGGAAGAGTATGAGAGTGAGAGAAATGTTTTCGAAAAAGTGGCGACAAAATTGACAAGCAGCGACATACTGCAGGCGTCTCGAACCTGACCGGGGTATATTGTATATAGGGAATGATATGTGATTTATATCTTATACAAACGTACATTATTGAATTAATGCAATATATTACATTTACGTAATACTCACATAGTATACGAGTGTGTATGGTGTGGGTTTGTGTATTAAGTCCTATATGGTCTATTGTATGTTTACATATGTAGTTCGGGATTAGAACTTAGCATTATTTCAATGACTTCTTACCTGTGAAATCGTCAAAACGACAAAAAGAGGTATTAGGAGCTCCATATCTCAGTGATCCGTCGTGTTCCGCCCACCTCGCTACAGTTGTAACTATTAAGTCATCTCTGTTAGATAACGTAGAGCTATCAGTATCATGTTATGTCAGATAAGTTTATGTTTGTACCCATTGATAACGTAATCATGTTCACCCTCAACAACGCAGAATGCTTGACTGCTAGTATTTTTTATTTTTTTAAACGCTTGTTTATGAAAAGAGTTATTCGAGCGAATCGAAGTATTTCTATCCCCTAACTTTCTTTTTGTACCTTGCTTTAAGCGCATGCATTTAAGTTCTCACACACGCTCACAAACAGGTGACTGCGTCTCACACACGCTCACAAACAGGTAACTGCGTCTCACACACGCTCACAAACAGGTGACTGCGTCTCACACACGCTTACTAACAGGTGACTGCGTCTCACACACGCTCACAAACAGGTGACTGCGTCCCACACGCTTACAAACAGGTGACTGCGTCTCACACACGCTCACAAACAGGTGACTGCGTCTCACACACGCTCACAAACAGGTGACTGCGTCTTTAGAATTTAGTCACAGATACGGTACGCCAAACATAAATTCCATTGCATTATATATTTCCATCCGTGATGCTCGCGACCAAAATCCAAATCGATCTAAACTACTTTCGAAACAAAAGTGAAGATGCGCAAAACCCTTAATTTGCGAATTGTTAACTAGCAATCATAGTCGCTAATTAAACAATTACTATCTACTCCTGATGTTTTTTTTTTTAAAAAAAACAAAAAAAACCAACATCTTATTTAGATCACAGTTTAAATATGACGTAAATGTTTGACATCATCAACCTTCGGCTTAGTTCAAACAACATGATCGGGTATCTGGCTTAGAATGGAATACGGTATTGAAGATATCGTCATATGTTTCTTAAATTTGTTTTTTATTATTTATATATTTTGGCGCATACTATTATTTTTTAATACGTTTTCAAAGATGTCAATCGGAGTCTATTTGAGAAATTACTTCATTTTAAAAAGTATCTCGATTCACGCCCACCATTAGGTTGCACATTGTGAGTATTGTAGCTAATTAAGCGATTGCTGGTCTTTACCTTTGATATCTGATTTATAAAGAACGAACAAACTCTGATTAGAACTTCTCTTAGCGATAAATTTTAATTATGGTCTACAAGTTACCTCCCTTGTAGAAATGATATTCCGCTCAATATACACAAATACTGAAATAGATTAAAGATAAACAGCTTTTTACCAACCTTCACAAATGTTTGGTGCTATATACTTGTTACTAAACAGAAATCCTAGCTTAGTCTATTTTTATAAAGTTTCTTAGTTAATACCTGGTGTATAGAGTTACTAAGTTAATACCTGGTGTATAGAGTTATTTAGCTAATACCTGGTGTATAGAGTTACTTAATTAATACCTGGTGTATAGAGTTACTAAGTTAATATCTGGTGTATAGAGTTACTGAGTTAATACCTGGTGTATAGAGTTACTAAGTTAATACCTGATGTAAAGAGTTACTTAGCTAATACCTGGTGTATAGAGTTACTCAGTTAATACCTGGTGTATATAGTTATTTAGTTAATACCTGGTGTATAGAGTTACTGAGTAAATACCTGGTGTATAGAGTTACTAAGTTAATACCTGGTGTATAGAGTTACTAAGTTAATACCTGGTGTATAGAGTTGCTTAGCTAATACCTGGTGTATAGAGTTACTTAGCTAATACCTGGTGTATAGAGTTACTTAGTTAATACCTGGTGTATAGAGTTACTTAGTTGATACCTGGTGTATAGAGTTACTTAGTTAATACCTGGTTTATAGAGTTACTTAGTTAATACCTGGTGTATAGAGTTACTTAGTTAATACCTGGTGTATAGAGTTACTGAGTAAATACCTGGTGTATAGAGTTACTAAGTTAATACCTGATGTAAAGAGTTACTTAGCTAATACCTGGTGGATAGAGTTACTTAGTTAATACCTGGTTTATAGAGTTACTTAGTTAATACCTGGCGTATAGAGTTACTTAGTTAATACCTGGTGCATAGAGTTACTTAGTTAATACCTGGAGTATAGAGTTACTTAGTTAATTCCTGGTGTATAGAGTTACTTAGTTAATCCCTGGTGTATAGAGTTACTTAGTTAATACCTGGTGTACAGAGTTACATATTTAAAACCTGGTGTACAGAGTTACTTAGTTAATACCTGGTGTATAGAGTTACTTAGTTAATACCTGGTGTATAGAGTTACTAAGTTAATACCTGGAGTATAGAGTTACTTAGTTAATACCTGGTATACAGAGTTACTTAGTGAATACCTGGTGTATAGAGTTACTTAGTTAATACCTGGTGTATAGAGTTACTTAGTTAATACCTGGTGTATAGAGTTACTTAGTTAATACCTGGTGTACAGAGTTACTTAGTTAATACCTAGTGTACAGAGTTACTTAGTTAATACCTGGTGTATATAGTTACTTAGTTAATACCTGGTGTATAGATTTACTTAGTTAATACCTGGTGTACAGAGTTACTTAGTTAATACCTGGTGTAGAGAGTTACTTAGTTAATACCTGGTGTATATAGTTACTTAGTTAATATCTGGTGTATAGAGTTATTTAGTTAATACCTGGTGTACAGAGTTACTTAGTTAATACCTGGTGTATAGAGTTACTGAGTTAATACCTGGTGTACAGAGTTACTTAGTTGATACCTGGTGTACAGAGTTACTTAGTTAATACCTGGTGTACAGAGTTACTTAGTTAATACCTGGTGTA